GGTAAGTTCATAAATATTGTTTATGATTATTTAATTTTTTTTATTTAATTTAATTTAATTTATAAATGTTATAAGAACAAATGATAATAATTTTAAAAAATTAAAATTAATGAAATTAATAATTATATATGCAAATTTAATCATTAAATTTATTTTATAGGATTCTTTGTGGTTTAATATTGGTAGTGTTGAAACTTTTGAAAGAAATTTAGAAAATGCACAAATTGAATTAAATGTAGAACCACAAAATTATATTTTAGTGCATTATAAGGATGAGATAGAATTACATCATGTTTTAAAGCTTTTACCACAATTGTTCATGTATGGTAAGTTATAGTATTAAATATTTAGTATTATTTTTTATCAGATTTTTTTTTGTTTAAGTTAGATATAATATTAATCATTATTTTCTAGGACTTTTATTCTATGTATTCCGTAAATCAGCAGAATCATTTGGTAAAGGAAGAAAAGGTGGACTTTTTGGTGCATTAATGGAATCAACTGCAAAATTGATTAATTCTAAAGATATTGGTGTTCGATTTAAGTAAATTGATAGAAATATGATATACATTATAGTAGTGTTTACATCTTTGCATAGTTTAAGAAATTATTATGAATTGTAGACAATTTTCTTCTAATCTGAACTTTTCTGCTATATTTTTACCTAGAATAAAATTAAGAAAATTAAAGAAATTAAAAAACCTAGAATTAAAAATGAAATAAAAATAAGAAATATTAAGTAACAAAAAGAAATATATAAAAGAAAAGTAAATATATAAGTAAATAATAGATAAAGCAGAAGAAATAATTTAAGAAATAATTTATAGAGTAGAAAAAAATTGTATACAATTGTAAAACATCTTTTAAGGATATAAGTTTGAGTAATATTTTAGTTATTTTTTTATTATTTATATAATTATATTTATATAATTATTGTAAATATTTTTATGCTATTAATTTTACATGTTATTAAAAATTTAGGGATGTTGCTGGATGTGAAGAAGCTAAGATTGAAATTATGGAATTTGTAAATTTTTTAAAAAATCCACAACAATATATGGAACTTGGTGCTAAAATTCCTAAAGGTGCAATGTTGACAGGTAAATATATTGTACTTATACGTATTATATTATGTTATATTATATTGTAATTATAAAAAGTCTTCTTTTAAAATATATATTAAATATATATGTCTTTTTTTTAAATATATTTATTTAATATATATAATTATATTATAAATATATATATTGTAATTATAAAAAAGTCCTTTTTTTAATATTTTAAATTAGTGTAAGATAATAGCATAAAACTCTGTTTATAGGTCCACCCGGGACTGGTAAAACATTATTAGCTAAAGCCACAGCTGGTGAAGCAAATGTACCTTTTATTAGTGTGTCAGGTTCGGAATTTTTGGAAATGTTCGTTGGTGTTGGTCCATCAAGAGTTCGAGATATGTTTGCATTAGCACGAAAACATGCTCCATGTATATTATTTATTGATGAAATCGATGCCGTTGGAAGAAAAAGAGGAGGCAAAAATTTTGGTGGCCATTCAGAACAAGAAAATACACTTAATCAACTTTTAGTTGAAATGGATGGTATATTATAATTATTGATAACATTATTTATTGTATAATATAAATTCAATTTTGATTAAATTGATTCAATTTTTCAATTTCAATTCAATTTCTTTTTTTTTAGGTTTCAATACAACTACCAATGTAGTTGTATTAGCAGCAACTAATAGAATTGATATTTTAGATAAAGCTTTACTACGACCTGGAAGATTTGATAGACAAATTTATGTTCCTGCTCCAGACATTAAAGGTCGAGCTTCTATTTTTAAAGTACATTTAAAACCTTTAAAAATCACATTAGATAAAGATCATTTAGCTAGGAAAATGGCTTCCTTAACACCTGGATTTACAGGTAAAACATAAAAATTAATCAGTAATATTTTTCGAAAAAATATATATTAAAGATTTATGCTAAATATTATAAGTTATTGATTTCAGGAGCTGATATTGCTAATGTTTGTAATGAAGCGGCTTTAATAGCGGCAAGAGATTTAAATGATAATATACATATAAATCATTTTGAACAAGCTATTGAAAGAGTTATAGCTGGCATGGAAAAAAAGACAAATGTTTTGCAACCGGAAGAAAAAAAAACGGTTGCGTATCATGAAGCTGGTCATGCAGTAGCAGGTTGGTTTTTGGAATACGCAGATCCACTTCTAAAGGTAATTTTTAGATTTTCAAAATATTTTAATTTTATAATTTTATTTAAATTCTATATTTCACAGGTTTCTATAATTCCTCGTGGAAAAGGTTTAGGTTACGCACAGTATTTACCTCATGAACAGTATCTTTATACAAAGGAACAATTGTTTGATAGAATGTGTATGGCACTCGGTGGACGAGTGTCGGAAGAAATCTTTTTTGGTCGTATTACTACAGGAGCGCAAGATGATTTACAAAAAGTATTATTTTGCTATGCAGTTTTTTTTTATAATTATGCATGTAAATAATTTGTATTATAAATATTGACATTTTTTTTTTATTATTAGGTAACTTCAAATGCATATGCTCAAGTTATTCAATATGGTATGAACGAAAAAGTTGGCAATGTTAGTTTTCAAATGCCACAGCAAGGTGAAATGACTTTCGATAAACCATATTCGGAACATACGGCACAACTTATCGATAATGAAGTACGTGAATTAATTGAACAAGCGCATACTCACACTCGTAATTTACTTATGCAACATAAGGAAGACGTATCTAAGGTATAGAAAATGCTGGATTTATTAAAAACATTAATTGATTTTTACAATTGTAATAATAAATGAATAATTTTATTTCAGGTAGCTGAACGATTATTAAAACAAGAAATTTTGAGTAGAGAAGACATGATAGAGTTACTAGGTCCTAGACCCTTCCCTGAAAAATCAACTTATGAACAATTCGTGGAAGGTACAGGATCATTCGAAGAAGACACGACTTTACCAAAAGGTTTACAAGAATGGAATAAATCGAGGGAGAGTGAGAAAAAAGGTGAAAGAACAGATTCTCCACCAGAAACAGTTTCGGGATTGAGTTCTCAAAATCAACCGCAACAGCGATTATAAACCATGTCATTATGGATTATAGCCTGTTAAGTACTTGTATTATAGTTTGAAATACATAATTGTAATAAGTAGTGATACATGAGTATGCACTCCATAGCATTCATTAAGAAAAATAACATTATAATTTGCAATATATAAAGCTTCTAAGTACCAATGAAATTAAGTACCGTTTTACAAAAAAATTTTCTATATCGATCTAATATTTCTTGTCTTTAATATAAAGATTATTTATTATGATGTGACAAAGTGTCCTTTGGTAACAAAAACTAACTTGTGTAAAACAAAAATGCATAATAATGAACATAAATTATTAAACAGATCTTCTTATAATAGTATATAATTTTCTCATAATAATATAAAACAATGTGATTTTTGGACGCAAAGTGATAGTATAACAAGGGTCATGTAATTTTTATTGTCTTTTTTAAGACGAAATAAGCAAAATAATGAATTAGGTAAAATGAATAACAACTTTTGTTCATATCATTTTTTGCAACGTATAATTAATAAAGTTTACAAATGTAGTGCAATTAAACTTTTATCCTTAATATTGTAAGTACATTGATAATTTGGTATTACTATTTTTTTATCGCTAATTGTTGGATTTCGCTTTGGCGGAATTTCAATGAAAAATAATATGTGCACATATGTGCGTAAATTGGATCCTTGTTAATACTAAAATTACATTATTTAATGAAAAGTAGACCAATTGAAGAAAATGAACATGATTTTACTTGCGTTCCTGATATATAAACTTCATATATAGTTATTTATGACAAGATTGAAAATGTTTTACGACGAAGGTCTTTTTTGCTAGTGAAATTCATGGTTCTAGGAGCAAATTTTTTTATCCTTACTGAATTTTGTAGCATCACGAATGTATTATATTTTATTGTGTCTATAAGAAATATCTCAAAATTAAATTATTAAACTACTATTAATAAAAAATTCATTAACGATGAATAACAAATTGTACATTATTCATTTCTAGAAAAAATAAAGGAATATTTACTAAAAAAAAGTAGTAAATGTTTACATGACTGTAAATATTACAAATCTTCGTTCATTCTCTCCTTAATTCTGTTAATTCATTTTTTCTTTTACTCTCTCTTTCTCTCTTCTCTCATATTTATTCTTATCATTATCCATGAAGTTAGAACATTTAAAAATGACTTCCATAAGATAAGCTTTGAACTCATTTAAATATGGGTAAAAATAAATAAATCGGAGCAATACATGTGCATACATCCATTATCAGTCTTGGGACTTTTTAAAATTATTTTTAAATGAGCTGAAACGCCCTTGGAAATATTATTTATTTAAAAATTATTATATCTTTCGAAAAAAAGTATCGTTTGATTAAAACAGTTTATGCATTCCGTATTATTATTATTTTCATTAGAAACAATTAGAAATGTTAAAATCAGCGATATAATTTACTCTTTCATTTTTTTTACATGTATTTTTTTCTTACATATTATATAATTTTGAGCATATTGAGTATAAAAAAGGAAGACAACAATTATTCATTATTCATTTTCAATTACATATACTTGAATTAATTCATTGTGCATTATATGTAATATGTTAATATTATTGTTGATATAATGAAAAAATATTAATTTTTAATTAACTTAATATTGTTAGTTATGGAACGCAGATAATACGTAAACTTCAAGTTTTCAATAATGAAAAGGTTATGCGTAAACATACATTTGCATGTAAACATCTGCAATTTATTGATAAAAGTAGACATTACATAAAATTGCTATTATTTTATATTTCAATTATAAAATTATAAATGTTTCGATTAATTGTATATTTGTATAAAAAAATTATATTTCTGAATTTTTAATATGTATTTAAAAAAAAAACATAATAAAAACTGCTCTTATGTAATAGTTTTTATTTTATACTTATTATTTTTTGGATGAATGTGATACGAAAAATTATTTTTATTTGAATTTTGATTGCATATACGATGTTTACATACATTAAAGCGCACAATATAAAGAGAATAATATAAAAGGGAAATAATGAATTTGAAATTCAAAATTAAAACAAAAAATTTGTTAAAAAACTTTATCATCAATTATCGTCAGTTTTATACGTACATCGTTCACAGAATTGAATCACTGGAAGTAAACCAAATCACAAGACAGATTGATCTTAAATATTGATTGCAAAGATATTTTTCATCAAAATTATCTATATTTTGTATCAATTTAACTTATAAAACTTAAAAATCAACTTATATAATTATATAAAATGCATTGGTGAATATCATTGTTACACTGAAAATGATTGATAGAAACAATTCATGAAAAAATAATTATATCTATAAATTTTTATTCAGATTAGATGTAATTAGATGTAATAATTATGTTTCTTAATGTATCAATTATATTTTAACGACAATAAATAATTCGAGATGAAAACTTTCTATTTTATAGAATTTTGCAGAATTGTGAATTAATCGTTAATTAAATCTGATTCTTCTAGATTTTGATCACGTGGTTTTGTTTTCGTCCGGTGATGTCACAACGATAAACGATGTATACATACTAATTCTTTTCCGACCTTCGTCGTTAGAGCTTTGATCCCAAGACAGCGTTTTTCTTTTTTTTTTTTGTTTTTATCTCTGAAATGGCGATTCTTCTCAGCATTTCTACAAAACTATATGATTTATCAAGTAGGTATTTATAGGTTTCAAAAGTTCACCATTAAACTTAGCTCGCTAACTCACTAATCAAATATATTATACAATCACTAAATTATTGCTTTGTCGTACCTTGTATCACACTAATCTAAATCTTATGTTTTCTGTTTACTTTACGTCTTTTTTTTTTCTTTTTTTTTTCCTCATTTGCATTTTTTCCTCTTTTTTTAAATCCTTTTCACAAAAGCCAGGTTTACTGATGATCATGCCTGCTTTTCTAGGTACTTCTGTTTTATAGATGCACTTCTTTTCTGTATGTAATATTCGCTCGCATCATTCTTGTATGTTTTGTTGTGTATATATGAAATGATATGATGGCGCAGGTAACGTACAAGTTCCATATTTATTAAATTTGTATTAAACTCGAGCGAAATCTAAATTATCGCATATGGAAACGAGTTTGAATCGCACTCTAATTAATTTCATTGATTTATTTAGAAGAATAACTCATTTCTTATTTCATGCTTGCAAATTTATATAATGTGTAATAGATAATTTATATTTCCAGGTACGATCATATTAATAATTTTATATTATATACGTTTATAAAAAATCTTGAGAACATTTCTTTTATTTAATCAATGATAATTTTTTTTTATAATTCCCCAAACTATCACAAAAAAAGGATAAAAAAATAATATTAAAATAAATAAATATAAAAAATTGTACTTGTTGAAAAAACCATCGCTCCTTGAATAGAAGTATTACTATTCCATTCTAAAAATATCAAACTCGACTTGTTTACTTTTCTTACAAACGAAACATCGTTTATGTTTCGAGATTAATTAGAGGCGATTATTCTCGCGAAAAGTTTCGGTGTAGCGAAAATTCGACTAACATATACTTATATATACACATACATATAATATATATATATCGTGCATATTTGGTTTAATAAGTTAATTAATTATAGTTTACGCGGATAACTTTTGTCACGTTGGTTTCGTTGTTCTTTTTTACCGTGTTTTCGAACGTATGTAATTTTAATAAATAACGCATATTTCCTTTCTCTCTATATTTCCCTCTTTCTTAAACCATTTCTTTCTTTTAGTACTCGTTTGCTTATTGACAATGGATACCTATTACGATGAAAGGCGACAGTAATTGTTTTATCGCTGCGTTTAAGAGCGCCACGGTATCAGCGTAGTTACATTTAAGTAAGTACTTTGGTCCTCTTTAGAGTCTTCTAAACATTTAATCATGTGATGAATAGAAATAGCAATCGGTCTCTCGTTGCCGCGAGTAGTGAAGGAAAACGAATCTCTTCTTATTTTCGTTCTTTTCTTTTTTTTTTTTTTTCGTTTTTTTTTTTTTTTTTTTTTTTTTTT